CTGCTGATTTTACGGACTTTCAGCCGGCCATGCATTATCTTGATAGTAAACAGCAGAAACGCGATCACTTGGCACGTGAAACTACTGCAGTAGTAGAACTTCGTGCCCAACTAGTCAACTTGATTTTAGATATAAAAGACGAGAGATTTTACAGAATGTTCCTTTTATTTTGTCAAGCACTAGCTAGATCACGCAAGTATTATAATTATTGTACTTTAAAATAGTAATAGTAGTATCACTAATACTATATTTTTTCACATGTACGGTTTACGCAATTAATTATTACTATCAAAATATCATCATCGTCGGTGGCAAATGAAGCCAGGCTGCAACACCGCACTATAGCATTTTTGTAGGTATGCTAATCAAGAAGGTGACCCACTTTAAAACGAAAGTGGAGATCGCTTAGTTACAAGATGGAGTCGGTGGTCCACGAAAAATGGCTCCTTTGAGTATCAGTTACTTTGAAAACCCGTCGCTCAAAACTGGCTGTTCTGAATCGAATACATATGGGCTCAAAGTTATTCAGAAGAGGTCGCTCTACAAAACGACACCTAACTTACGTAGCGATCTTTGTTCAGCCAAATAAATTTCACTATTTGCCATGCGGGAAGTAAATTTTCTTTAATATCTCTTGTTTTCGGTAAAATTAAATACTCTCAAGTGACATTTTTGGATTCTGTGTCCATTTTTACATAAAGGTGGGCAGTTTTGTTGGAATCTGTACAGGACGAAGTTGAAGGTTTGAATTTGTTCCCAATCGTGTCTTGAGAGCTAAATCGGAGATTTTTCAAAATGGCCGCCACGTGGTCTAAACGAACTGATTGATTAATATCTAGTTATTTATAAAAACAGTTTAAAAATAATGCAAGTTTTATTTCTATTAATCATTTAACTGTCTTTTAACTTTCATTTGACATCAGTTTTAATAGTTTTAAATAGCTGAAAATAATGATTTAGCACGTTTTTGACATGGACCATTTGGCTAAGGTATTTTGAGTGTTGAAAGTGGACACAGACATTGGTTTGAACATTTTTTAATATACTTTAAAATCACATTAAAGTAGTTTTTAAATCATATTTGGAATCTTTAGCCATTATAGAATTTAAGCCATAACCTATCATTGGGAATGAAGGACCTTACCTGTTTAAGGCCTTTTTACCTGCTGACCCCCACTCTCCGCTCCCAGATTGACATTTAAAAAATGTCCGCCATATATTTCTGCACTATGAGTTTGTGGTGCATTTTAGATAGTATAACAAGTACTATTTATGACTGATACTATGTTATAGTATTAAAAGTGTAGTTTTTACTTCCTTAGATTTTAAATATACTTATTTAGAAAGTTGATGATTAATTAAATTAATAATAAATTAATAAAATATTATAATTTGTTTAAGTTAAACAAATTATAATATTTTATTAATTTAACTACATAAGTTTACTTACTTACAGCTAGGGCTACCTTACAACTTATGATTAATAATATCTGATCATTTTTTTATATATACTAATACTAATATATACTAGCCAGCAAACAGATCACGTGGGACATAGATACTTTAAAAAAATAAAGTTATTTTTCCTCTTACCTTATGAAATCCTGCTCCATGAAAACACAACATAAATCCAAAGCGAATCACAAAGCTTATTTAATAATTTTACTCCATAAAAACATAGCACTGAGTCACAAATATTAATTATTATTCGTTGTTCTATTAGACTGCACTAAGGTTTAAAGAAAACTTTTTGTTTCAAAACGGAACTTTGCTATCTTCAACGATCGACGAATTTCCTGCCATATTTCCTGGTGACCAATATCGACGAATTCGCGACTTGTAGTCTGCTGACCGACGTCCCTACCGATAGTTTTTGAATTAAACTGCATCCGGGCAGGGCTCCCAATGCTGTTTTTTCCCCCAGATCTGTGTTTTTATTTCTCCACATAACCGTAAACGACTAGCCGCATGCCGAGACCTTTAGCACGAAGCCTGAATACCGTAGCAACAGCCTCCAGGGGTTCCTGTTAACCTGAACAAAATGCATTTTTGAGTCGAACAACGCAGTTGTTATATAAACTCACCGCAACCTTCCGAGCGCAATGTTAATGAACTTAATGGCTTGACCACTTTCCTACAGAGACCCCCAATATTGTTTGATAACCAAGTGAAAATATATATGCACCCTTTTTACTGATTTAACATAATCCCTTCTTCAGTCTTTGCAAATTTATTCTTCAATTTTATTAACTAGTCACTGCTGGATATTTTATTTACCAGTTCAAAATAATCTAAGGTAACTGCTCATACCCTATTTGAGATTCAGTACTATGTTTTCATGGAGTAAAATTATTAAATAAATAAGCTCCTTTGTGATTCGCTTTGGATTTATGTCTTTTATGGAGCAGGATTTCATAAGGTAAGAGGAAAAAGAACATTATATATATTTTATTAACGTATCTATGTATCTGTTTGCTGGCTATATATCTAGAAAATAATTATTAAATATTTATAATCATAAGTTGAAAGAAGCCCTGGCTGTAAGTAAGTAAACTTATGCATAGTTAAACAAATTATAACTTATTAATTTTATTAAGCATCAACGCCCGTCTCTCCGTTGGCTAAACCGGATTGCGCGGTGAGCGGGTGACGAACTCCTTGTGGTCCGGGTTCACTCCCGGGGGTGGGCAGAAAAGCCACATTTCTCCCAGATTTACGGTATTTAAAATGGAATCAAGGCCGAAAGGTTGCGATATCCGTAATACTGAGCCTAAGGGTTAACAACTCCTGGCTTCTATATACTAAAACAAACATTAATCATCAACTTTCTAAATAAGCATCTATAAGTCAATACTAATACTAAAATTTTAAAACTAATAGTATCAGTCATAAATAGTAACTGTTATTTATACTATCTAAGACAATAAAAATGCACCACAAAATCAGTGCAGAAATGTGTGGCAGACATTTTTTAAAATGTCAGTCTGGGTGCGGGGAGTGGGGGTCAACAAGCAAAAAGGCTTCAAACAGGAAATATTATTCATGCCAAATAATAGGTTATGGCTTAAAAAATGCTATAATAGTAAAAGATTCAAAAAATGATTAAATAACTACTTTATTTTCATTTTAAAAGTATAATAAAAAATGTTTAAACCACTTTCACATCCAAAATGTCAGTCTGGGTGCAGGGAGTGGGGGGTAAACAGGTAAAAAGGCTTCAAACAGGAAATATTATTCATGCCAAATGATAGGTTATGGCTTGAAAAATGCTATAATGGCTAAAGATTCAAAAAATGATTTAATAACTACTTTGTATTTATTTAAAACTGTTATTAGAAAATGTTTACCACTGTCTGTGTCCATTTTCAAAGCAAAATACCCTAAAAAATAGTCTATGTTAAAAATGGGCATTATTTTCAGGTATTTAAAATTATTAAAATTCATGTGGAGTTAAAGTTAAAAAAAGGTAAATTTTAAATATGAAGAAAAATTGCCTTATTTTTGAACTCTTCTAATAATAGTAATAAATAACTAGCTAAATTAATCTGAGATAAACAGTTCGTTTAGGCCACTCTGTAGCCATTTTGAAAAATCGCAAATTTAGCTCTCAAGAAGTGACCGGGAAGAAATTGAAACTTTATATTTTATGGTGTACAGATTCCATCAAAACTGCCCATCTTGATGTACAAATGGACACAGAATTAAAAAATGTATTTATATTCATTTTAAAAAGGAGATATTAAATTTCTTTATTAATTCCTGCATACAAATAGTGACATTTATTTGGCTGAACAAAGATCGCTATGTAAGTTAGGTGTCGATTGGTATAGCGACCTCTTCTGAATAACTTTGAGCCCACGTATTTGATTCAGAGCAGCCAATATTGAGCGACGGGATTTCAGAGTAACCCATACGCAAAGAAGCCATTTTTCGTGGACCGCCGACTCCATCTTGTAACTAAGCGATCTCTTTCATTTTAAAATGGGTCACTTGGATAATCGTACTAACAATGCAATGCAATGAAGTCAGTCCACTCACTATTGAACATTTTTATAACAGTGGAATAAAGCAAATTTCGGTCAGATGTTTTAAATGCTCAAGATATGTGTATGTGAGGAAAGAAATTTATTTTCTCAACATGGTCATTAGGCTACATTTTTATAGTAGACAGCCTCTATTATAAAAATAAAAGAATAACAGCTGAAATATTATTCGAATTTAGAAAATGTCTAGTTTATATAAATTTTTTTTTTTTTAATCAGTCAACACAAAATAAACATTATTTATTAAAATATAGAGCAGCATTCATAGGGTAAGATAATAGACCAAACATATTTTAGACACTAAATTATGACAAATAACTAATTTCAACCCAAAAGATACTTGTAGATACTTGATATCATGTGATAGTTTTGCATAGTTGGTATCGCGTCTGTCTGACAGTTGTAAGGTAACAACCCGCTGCTGGGTTTCATTGTAAGTTTTCACTTTAGGTTTTTGCCACCTTTTGGCAACAGATGACACAAGTATTATTATTATTTTGAAATGTAATATCACATTGTGACTACAATCATTGTGATTAAAAGTGGGAGCAGCGGTAGATACATTAATCAAATTTAGGAGTACACACTGGGAACAGTTGTTACCATTAATCACCCATTAAGGGAGCAGTAGCTTAGTCTGTAAATTTGTGTGGCAAATGTTTGTGGAGTTTCTACCACATATATGGCAGCGGTGGAGACAACGATAAAAATGATACATTTTCTTTCACTATCACTAACAAAGTCGACCAATTAAATCTATTTTCTAGTGGCTACTTTCTGTAAGGACAAGGTTTTTAGGTATCACCATGATTTTGCCTGCCTTCATTATTTTCCACTCCTAATGCTCCAGTGGATTATAGGCCCTCAACTAACTCAAAGCCCTCTACACTTTGTCTTCTCGCATCGAGCTGCCTATGTCTTCCTTAAATTAAAATAATTTAACATTGTTTTAGGACGATGGCTTACAAGAACTCCTGGACCCAATCTATAAAAGATAAAGGTAACATTTTATATTTTCATAGCTGTGGTTTTTCAAATTTTATTTAGGTTGGCTGCTTTTCTCAGGCACCTCATCTCGCAGGTGGTGATTTTGCGTTTATTGGTTTTAGTGTTCATGTCTGACACTGGTAGCCTAATGTTGGAATGAATAAGCTTTTAATAATCTCTTTGCACTCTTAGTTATGCTTGTATGTCTTAATGATGGTGACAATTTGTATATAAGTGCACTTTCTGTCTGACATCTGGTTTCTATTTCTCTATCAATTCTACCATCTTCTTTGATCATACTTCCTAGATATTTAAACTCCCTAACTTGATTCAGTGCAGAACCATTCAGCTGTATGTGTAGTGGGGCAGAAATTATTCATCATCATCGGGTGACTTGCTGACTGGCGTGGGCGATCATGCCTCTCCATAATCTGCAATCTTCTGCAGCATGTATCAGTTCATGTGCCGACACACCTCCATGCCATGCAACAAGACTGTCAAGCATCTTCTCTTGTCTTCCTCTATCCCTCTTTCCTCAGATCTTTCCAGTGGTCACATGTTCTTTTTTCCCTCTTCTCATAACATGGCCGAAAAATAATGTCTCCCTCTGATGTCTGTGATAAGTTGTCTTTGGGCTCCCGCCTCTTTCAAAACCTCTTGGTTGCTCTTTTTGGCTGTCCAAGGTATTCTTAGCATTCTGTAAAACCACATCTCTGAGGCCTCTAGAAATTGTTTGGCCTGCCTACCGATTGTCCAGGATTCACAGCCATATGTTAAAACTGTATGTATGTAGCAAGCAAGAATTCTTTTTCTAACTCTCAATGACAAGGATATATTGCACAAGATGTTTTTCATTTTATAGAATGCAGTTTTTGCCTGTCCAATTCTGTTTCTTATTTCAGTTAAGCATCTTCCATGTGATGTTATCCATGTGCCCAGATACTTAAATTTCTGTACTTGTCCTAAAATAACACCTTTTATTACACATTTAGAAATAATTTGTTTCTTTGGTACCACCATTACTTCTGTCTTACCATTATTCAAAATGAGGCCCATTCTTCCACTTTCTAACACCACAATGTCTATCATTTCTTGTAATTCTTTCTGACTTGCTATCAAGATTGTGTCTACAGCATAACATAAATTGTTATTGTGCCCACCAATTACAATTCCGGGCATATCAATTAAAGATCTCATTATACATTCACTGTATATTGAAAACTAATCAGGTGAAAGTACACATCCTTGTCGTACACCCCTCTTTATGCTTTGAAATATACTTAAACAGTTGTTAATTCTTATAGCTGCTGTTTGCTGCCAATACATATTCTTTATTATTCGTAGATCTTTCCTATCAGTTTAATATTTCTAAGTTTGATTACTTCTTCATGCTTCACAGTCAAATGCTTTTGTATAGTCTATGAAGCATAAGTTCAAATCAGTCTTTACTTCTATAGCTCATTCTGACAATATCCTTAGGATGTATAAGGCATTGTTTGTACGTTTTCCTTTTACAAATCCACAATGTTCATTGCTAATTTCTGGTTTAATTTTGTTTTTTATTCTTCTCATATATTTTCAGTAAAATCTTAGTCATGTGACTCATAAGACTTATTGTGCGGTGGTCTTCACATTTTAAAGTGCCTGGTTTCTTAGGCAGAGCTATAAATATGGATTTTAAAAGGTCATTTGAAATATACCCACTCTTATAAATATCATTTAAAAGTTTAGTTATTATTTCAATTCCAAAATCTCCCAGTGCTATTTGTATTTTAAACTTCTGGAATCTTTATGGTGCATTTTCTTTTATAGATGCTTCTGAACTCATTATCCAGATCAAGGCTAGAGATGCCGAAATTTCAAGATTAAATTCAAGGATAAAGAAAATGGACCTTGATCAAAAGTCAAGAAGTTTACAATTGGAACAGAAATTGAAAAAAGCTAAGGGTAACAAAAAATTTGTCATTTTCATTTATTAAAAATTCCTATACTTAATCTTTGGCATAATATAAAAATGTTTCATTATGCTGATGAGTCTTGGGACAAGTCAGAAAGAATGACAGGAAATGATAGACATGGTAGAAAGTAGAAGAATGGGCCTCACTTTGAATAGTGGAAAGACAGAAGTAATAGTAGTGTCAAAGAAAAGAATTATTCCAAAATTTGTAAAAGTCATTGGTGTTGTGTTATTTTGGAACAAGTGCAGAAATTTAAGTATCTGGGCACATGGATAGCATTAGATGGAAGATACATTTCTGAGATAAGAAACAGAATAGGACAGGCAAAAACTGCATTTTATAAAAAAAACATATGCAATATATCACTGCCATTGAAGGTTAGAAAAAATTCTTGCTTGCTACATATATCCAGTTTTAACATATAACTGAGTCCTGGACAATCTGTAGGCAGGCCAAACAATTTCTTGAGGAGAGATGTGGTTTTACAAAAGAATGCTTAAAATACCTTGGACAGAGAAAAAGAGTAACTAAGAGGTTTTGAAAGAGGTGGGAGCCCGAAGACAACTTATCACAGACATCAGAAGGAGACAGTCATCATTTTTTGGCCATTTTATGAGAAGAGGGAAAATGGAACATGTTGTGACCACTGAAAAGATTGCAGATTGTGGAGAGGCATCATCGCCCAAGCCAGTTCACAAGGCACCTGATGATGATACTTTGTCATTTTTTTAGTGTCCTTTGTCAGGTTTATTTTTCTTCGGTTCACTGTTCATAAAATTTGACAATACGTTCTGGTTCTTTATCTCTGGACTTAATCCTTTTTTTTCAAAGCATGTGTTGCATACACATACTTTTACAGATCTGGCTTATGTGTATGCAGGTGGTTGATTGCTTGCCTCTCAGGCAGATGTACTCTGACTTTAAAGAATGCCCCTAAATAGTCGACTCCTACAGCATGCTTGGTGGGAGGGAGAGTCTGTTCTTGATTTTCCCACAATGGAGCCCTGGAACCCATACTGAGATGACAGGTTTCAATGTAATAATGTATCAGTATGTCTGAGTATGTCAGGTGTCTTTTCTTTTCCTTTTCATTTAGATAAAATCAGTTCTTTCAAACAAGAAGCACAGGCGTTGGAAAAAAGCCTGAAAGATGCAGAGGATCAAAATGTTCGTTTGAATGTGGTCAAGGAACTTGACTCAACCGTGAGAGGCAGCACGGTTAATCTTGCGCTGGTAAGTGTCTGATTGTTTTCTCACCTATTTCTACATAATTCTGGTGTCAAATAGTGTATATTAATATATAGACTTGGCTATATAGTGATGGGCCTTAAAAGTTTTTAAAGCAAATGAATAGACTACATCCTTTACAACAGAAATCACATCCAACTCGGGTACTGATTATGTCAAATAGGTATCCAACATATATCCTGTATAACACTAAGTGTATCAGTGACTTGAAAAAAAAAGGCTTTCCTAAAATAGACTGCTAAAACTGTAGTAATGCAGGTCAGCAGAATTCCTAGTTCGCTACATATCGGGTTGAATTATACTTGTCTAATGCAAGTTAATGAATTAAAAAATTCAGGAAGCATATTCTCAGAGGACGGGAATAGATCAGGAAATAGAAACAAGAGGCTAACCAGCCCATGCACTTAAATCTTAAATACTGACATCGTCATTAAGAGATCCCAGCATCAGATTAAGCACCAAGAAACAGATTATAAACAGCATACAGTCGAGCCCACTTAAGTCAAATTTTGCTTCATTTGACATGACCATCTTAGTCCCGACAATTTCCCTTCTTTATCATAGTATTTAAAATCCTGATAAGTCAAATTCAGTTAACTTGAATATTTGGATAAGTCGAATCTGAAAATTAATTCTGACAAAAACATGTGTTCATTATCATTATGAAAGAGAAAAAATTGTCTTTAGTTGGCCCGGAAAATAATGTGAAATCTCCCAGCTATGATATCTCAATACTACAGTATTGACAATGGCAGCTGGCAGTCAAAAGCTGACTACTTTAACTTTAAATAGAAAGATTGAACTGTTGGAAGAGATTGAACATGGTGGGGGAAAAAAGTGGATATAACTAGGCAATATGGTATTCCAAGTTCCATACTCTTTCTGGCATTTTAAAGCATAAGGAACGCTACAGAACATTTTTTTTTTCAGTGTAAATTTGACAGGCAGCAAGCTAGAACAGCGACATCCGATTTTGTTGATGCTGCCATTTTATAATAGTTTGCTGTGCTTAGGTAGGCAAATGTACTCATGAATGGGCCATTAATTAGGGCAGAAGCAGAGGAATTTGCACGTCTTGGAGGTCAGACAGACTGGAAATGTAGTGCTGGTTGTTTTAATTGTTTTAACAAACGCCGTTTCATAATATTTTTGAGTTTAAAAAGCAAAACAAAATCTGTCTTTTTCTTCAATTAATGTCTGAATTTTCATATGGTTTTAATATTATACCTTTTAAAATAGTTAAATATTTCATTTCTGAAATTGTATTTCTATTTATTTGTTTAATTATAGTGTTTCCTAACTGGTATAATGGTTTTACTCAATGCTACTGCTCAGTTTTAGTGTACATTCTCTGTTGTGTGTGCGCTGTCTGGTTAAGTAGAAGTAAAGGTAAAGTCGTGATGTGAACCAGCGTCATTGCACAGTTATAAACCATAACTGCTCTGCCACCAGTACGGACAACTGAGAATTGTCCGCCTGTGTCGCCGTCCACACGTAACTCTGTAGCTTCAGCGACGTTCCTCCATTTACAATAGTGTCAACACTGGTACCCATTTCCCGGTTTCGAACACCGACTGTGGGCTGCAGCTGGATTTGAAAGCGAGTCTCTTATCGACTGTGTTAATGTAGCCTCCCCGGTGCCTGGCTTGGAAATTATCAATGGTCAACCTACGTAAAATTAACACCTGTGAAATGAGATGCTTGAGAAAAGCTGCCAACTATATAAGACAAAGTTAGAAGTGATCAGACAGACTGTAGGAACACCACTATGCAGCAAATTCATAGAGAAACTGCAAATGCAGGCGCTACACATGAGATCTGAAACAAAATCAAGAGGCCGTCTTAGGAAAACATGGATTGACATTAAAGAGCTTCTACATCGACCGGAATGACAATAGCCATTGCTGCCCATAAAGCAAACTATTCCTCCCAGTGCTCAACGGAAGGCGTGGAAATTGATGACTGCTGTTGTCCCCTGTCTACTGTCTATTATTATTTATCAGAATGCTTTTTAAAAACTGTTATCTTACATTACACTACGCTGTGCCTATCTTTCCACTAGAGTTCAAAGCTGGTGAAACCTTATTGATCGTTCTGTATTTGCTGTCACCACCTCGCTAACTTCAGATGAATTCTAAATGACTATTTTTTGCTGATTGTTGTAACAGAAACCATCGGATATTTTCATCTGGAAGAAAAAGTTTGCTGATTGTGAAGCTAAACTGGCCAAGCGGAATATACAGCTTGGCCAACTCAGTGACGATGTCGACAAAATCATTTGTCGAGCAAGTCTGGCGTTAGGAAAAGCGGACACTTTGCTGAGGAAGATGATTCCAGAAACGCAAGTGGGTGGTTTTGTTTATTATAATAATTGATGTTAACTTTGAAGATGGATACAAGACATTTAAGATGTATTGGCATTGAAAGCACATTGGGCCAGAGAGCTGGCTAGGGAAAATAATACTTTCAGGCGTGCAGTGAAGAAAGCGACGTTCTGTAAAGGATGTATATGGATGTATATGTATGTATATATGTATATATATATATGTATGTATGTATATATATATGTATGTATATATGTATATATATATATATATATATATATATATATATATATATATATATATATATATATATGTGTATGTATATATGTATATATATATATATATATATATGTATATATGTATGTATATATGTATATGTGTATGTATATATGTATATATATATATATATGTATATATGTATGTATATATGTATATATGTATGTATATATGTATATATATATATATATATATATATATATATATATGTATGTATATATGTATGTATATATGTATATATATATATATGTATATATATATATATATATATGTATATATATATAAAAAGGCGTAAATATGGCAGCCTAGCTATAAACCATAAAAAGGTAGCAGCCACCCAGTTAGGGGCCCCCTCATAAAAAAAATATATCATCCAGCAGGGAATTTAAACACGGATCACCCGTGTGAAAGGCGAAATGCCTACAAATATGCTATCAAATACAAGTATTTAGTAGAAATGAAATTATATTATAATGTGAAGTTCAGTGTTACACAGTCAAAGGTGGCCAATCAACTAAAAACAAATCTGAGCAGGCAATGAAACAAAATGATTTGATTGTTGCTGGAGCTAAGTCGTTCGTGTGTTGTGCGATTTTGTGTGTGTGTGTGACAGAAACATGCATTGAGTCAAAGGCAATCTTGTGTGGAATTTTGAAAACAATCAGTTCAGTAGTTAACAACTCGGAAAATTACCATTTTTAATAATATATTTATTTCAGAGATGTAAAAAGGACCCATTTTTTTTCACAAGTGGTATAGGCATATGACTAAGATTTTTATGGACCAATCACACTTGATTGCTGATGTCCGTCAAACCAGCTGCCTTTTCTTCCTATGACATTAACTGGCACCCATTTTAAGCTTAGCTGACCGGAAACCAAGATTGGTTCTGAAAAGATAGTAACGGTACTGATTTGAAGACATTCACCCTGATAGGCGAGCATTTTTTAGTTACCATTGTATTATGCAATCATCCATAGAACTTTCTTTTTCTAGCTGCAGGTTGAATATGCCAACGCCCTTGGTGAACTCAAGTGTCTGGAGGCCTACACTAAAGCATTTATCAGTCTCAAGCTAGAGATAATGAGCTATGACTCCTCTGTAAAATAAAATGCTGTAATAAAGGCATTGATGCAGAAATATGTTTAGCATTTGTATGAATTTGTTTTTTATGTGAGGGGATGCATGTTTGTTATTGTATATAGTAACTGTAACATTCCCCCCCCCCCCCCCCAAAGACCAGGTCTGTAAAATGAAGGTACATTCTTGTAGTAGTGACCTTAAGTTGATGCTTCTGTCTGCTTCACCAACCTCCAAATGCACGATCTTTCCCAGTATATATTACTTTCAGTGCAGTCCCTTGGACCGCCAGGCCATAATTTGTTTCCAGGCTGTTATTAGTGTTCTCACAGTAACTTCAAAAATTTAATCAGGTGCTGTCCCTACAGTGAAGTTTAACTGCTGCAGAATTTGAAAATATGCCTTCTCTTATCCTGGTTGTACACTCTCTGACTGTTGTTAGTCCATCTCTTGATGTCTTCCTCACTTGTATCATTGGTCCTAAGTCCCTTCCCCAGCAAAAAGTGAAAACTGTGGGGTGACCGTTTATTTTACCCTCACATCACTGTCCCAATTACCTAACTAGTTAGTAAGAGAACAATTAGCTTGCTAGATTAAAACATTTACATTAATATTGGGTTAGTTAGGGCACCAACTCTATGCTAGAAAAGAGGAAGTTTTGATTCAGGTGGCTGTGGGCACTTGGACACCAAGAACGGTCTCGTTCTGTGTCTCATAACTGACTCATTCCTCCCTTCAGCAGCGGGTTAACTTTATAGAATCATATATCATGGTACTCGTAAACTATAATCGACTATAATCCTCCAGGAATTGACTGATACTTTGTTCAAGACAGAATTTAAGCACAAATGCAAAACTTTGTGTGTGTTTTGTATGTTGTTAGTATTTTTGTAAGTCTGTTTTACATTCGTTGGTGTTTGTAAGTGTTATTGTGGTGTTGTTTGTGAGTACGTTCAAATTTTTATTCAATGAACAAAAAGAAGGGGGTGGGGGACGAAACAAAGGGAGAAAGGTAAAAGTTGGGGGGGGGGGGGGGGGGGCGGGGAAAATAAAGAGAAGAGGGACTCCATTCATTTAATTTAAAGGACCAGCTTCTCCTGGGACATTTTACCATGAGGGTGGTGTGTCCGGATATGAGGCGTAACTCTACGTCACTAGCTGTTGCTAGGGGCCACTGTCATCCTCTGCACTTGAGATCCCACTTTAAATGTTATGTTGTCCCTGTTCTTGTGGTACAGCCGCTGCACTGGATCTCCCAGTAGCAGGGGGTGTTGTCACGAGTGGAAAGACCTCTTCTTGTAAAATTGTTTTTGCTGGTGCTGGCTGGGGGCTACTTCTCCTTGTTGAGCACTTCTTTGCCCAGTGGTCATTGTGCTCGCAGTGTGGAAAATTTTTCCTCCTGCCTGGCAGGTCAAGAGCTGGTGCTTGCTGCCGGGGAACACAAATGCAAAACACTTCTGATCTACTTGGAAGTCTGGAAGAGAATGGGGGGGGGGGGGGGGGGGGGGGGGGGGGCTTAGTGTCACTTTCGAAGCGGTTAGGCTCCCAGATCAATACGCTTAGGAGTGAATAGGCTTCTCGGATTAGGAATATTAATACATAGAAGCTCTACCCCACAACTGTAAGTTTGAAAATGTAGACTTCACAAGATACCTAGAACATATAGAAATATATATTTCGTCAAATAAAGGTATAAATAGATGTGATGGACGGGTCTATATTTGAAATGTGACCTGTCTGCTAGGGGCGTTAACGTCACGAATAGTCTAATGTGTAGGGGTGGGTTTGATCATTTCACGACACCATATTAGCTAAAACATCGTTATTATCATCCTCATTATTCGCTGCCACCATAGTTACTATATATTCCACTAGAAGCATTACAAACATAACACAGAAAACAATCACATTTTAAATTATTCTTCTGAAGTAAGTGTCCATAGCTTTTCTCCCTGCAATCCAAAAACGCAGATCAGTCAGATACTTGAAAAGGTCATCCAAGGGTTACTGTCCACTTCATACATGCACAGCGCACTACCTGCTTTCTACCAGTGGCATACGATATTGGGCCTCTTGGCCTAAATACCACAGGCTTTCCTTTGGACTTTCTATCCTCACTGTGTGTTGTTAGTTTGGTTGTCCTCCGGTGTCGCGAACTTAGGCCTATGCATACTGGCAGCAGTCATTATACATGCATGCGGCTACTCATACATTGCATTAATAGACTTGATGCTATCCTCGTGGCATTTCCTATGTCTCGATGTCCAGTTAGACGACTCGATAGATCCAGTTAATGCATGTCATTCCCTGCCTGTCCCTAGACTGCCTATTCCATACGCCTACCACGGCTAAGAATGATACACACAGAATGCAACTGTAACTTACATATACTCAACAGATTCTGTCGTTTCACGGCCTTGGACAATCATCTTTCGTCTCATAGTTTCACTATGACATTGGTGCCTGTAACTTGTAAGCTTTGATGTGCAGAACAGATTCTCTTGTTTCACGATTAAAGTTATATTTCGACATATGCGCCTGTAACTTTCCAGAGCAGTATCTTCATTGTCACTCTAAGTCGACTTTACTTATGGGCACCTGTCGACTCTCTAAGCGCAATCTGTCTCTCTCAGTCCTAGCTTTGGCATATTACTTTTCCTAAGTAACTTCCACCTTGGCCGTTTGTCCTAGTTCTTCATACTGACTCAACATCTCTTTAAAATATGCAAATTAGTCCCTGTGCCTCATCTGGGTTGCTGTCCTTAGATAACCTATTTGCTTCCTGCTCCTCTGTCTCCAAATAAAATTGTTCCTTGTAAGCCTTTTTAGGTCAATACCCTTCTAATTTCTCTAAGCTTGGCCATCCTCTCTTCATATTGCGGTTTTTCCAGAGCTTTGTAGGTGTATGCTGCTCTAGCAGTTTCGGTTTCTGGGGTTTTTCCCCATAGCTTGATTAGTTATGCAAATTCTCAACTATCGTTCTTATTTCAATTGTCCTTTAGAGCATCTTTGTCTGTCTTTCTGGGCCAATGCTGTGTGTGCTTTAAACCTGTGTTTCTTTCTTCCGCAGTTTATGGGTATATTGGCCTACAAATGTCATGTTCTCTTAGCTTTGTCCCGCAACTACGTCTGTTTGTCGACTCTTGAGTCAAGGCCACTGACGCGTGCGAATGTTGTCGCTTGATGCACCGCACACTTGCCAAGTATTCAGGTATGCTTAATAGTGTTACAGATCAAAGTCACCACTCCCGCCCAACAGCAATAAAGGACGCTGGATACATGTTGAACGTCAAAATATAATTAATGTATTTCAAAACCAAGACAATGAATCCACATGAATTTCTATACTGCCACAGTCATTCCTACTGGCAAGGCAACACAGACGCCGGACGCTTTTACTGCCATCCTGTTCCGTGGTTAACAACGAGCAAACATTACCTGCTCGTGCAAACCCACTGCTCGTGAGTAGCCTACGTGTCTGTCTCTATGACACCCATCCCTTGGGTACACTGTCACTAGCAAGATCATACAGGCCGATGCACAATACCTTGTGAAGATTATCCAGACCTTCCGTCTGCGGCCTGACACGTACTTGAGATCTCCCATCTCACCACACGAGCTTCTGTCACGCTGGCCCGGCCACTGCGGCATCTCTCGCCGATAGCCTGTATGCCTACCGCCAGCGTAACATGTGGCAACACCCAGACTAGAACCTACATCACCGCATCCTTCCTCTCCGGGAACTTGGAGCCAACCGTTTTTCTCTCTCTTCACATTCCGTTCAATGTGTCCTGCACCGCACCAAGTGTTTACGTTCAATAATGAACTTCCCTTTCATATACCCATATATTGCACACAACAGCCACCAGGGTTGTTATATTATGTAGCTACCTTCTTATTCTCAAGCTACTCTATACCTCCTTTTTCCTCTGTTTTATTTCTTTCATTGTATTTTCTTCTTGCAATATTTGTGACCGTAATCAGTACTGTAACAACCCTATCATTATGGATTTAGGTAACACTATAGAGAATTATCACAGACACTACAGAGTCCATGCACTGAGATTGATACATGGGCGCCTCCCCCCACCCGCCCCCTGGATTGATTGAAAATAGTCAAATAATGTTACTTTTATTATGAATCACTTTGTTAGCAATTATGTAAAACGAACTATTGAAGAAAACAGAAAGAAATCTTATTTTGCGGAACAAATGATTTGGCAATTCGTGGGAAAGATAGCGCCAAAGGAAATGTTGAACAACTTTATAGTATCGAATTAAGGGAGGAGACATGATGACATCAAAATCAAAAATCAACCTCTCCAGTACAGGACCTCGCTGCCTAGCACTCCGACAGTTCCAGTATCCTACTCTTACATGATTAAAGCTCAATCTATCCGCTTTTCGTCTTGTTCTTCTAGCACCCGCCCTCCTATTTCTATGCCTTCTTCTCTCCCCATTCCCTCGTCGTCTCCTCCTCACTCCCTCTTCACGAACTGCTGAATAATGTGTCAAGCGCAGAGGACGTGCCCTGTTGCTCCGGTGACGATTCCTATGTATATTTTTAAAATCCATATGCGAAAAGATAGAACACTGCAGGAAATGCCCGGTCGCCCTAGTATTGCCTGCCTGCTAGGGAAGAGGCAATGGATGTCCCGTAGGAGTCCATACGCCTGGTGCCGCCCCGCACGCCCGCCAGACGTCCAACGTTCATGACCAGCTCACCCTTGGCCATCCAGTTCCTCGGCACGTTGGCCCACCTTGAACTATTCAGAGTTTGCCGTCTCCTAGATGGTCTGCTGTCCAAGGCTAACGGGTTCCATCTAGCCGGGGAAAAGGGTTATGTTATCAGTGAAGTAGGAAATAATTAAAGAGATTAGTAATAATATAGTTATATATATATATTTTTTTTTTCCTTTTTTTTTTTTTTTAGGTTTTAAATAAATTTTATTGAATGTTAAAATGGGTCTGTATACAATGCTGCGTGGTTTCTGTATTGTACGTATTTTATTTACAGGCGTCTGCGATGT